ATTATATTATATTATAATTAAAAAAAAAAAAAAAAAAACCCTGATTTTTGAAGTTTCAAACTATAAACTTTATTTTTGAATTGGTGTAAAGAATACACCTTATTTATGAATTTTTCCCATAATTAATTAACCCATAGTCTAATAGGAGACAAAAACATGCCCAAGGATTGTTTAATTTATTGGGTCAGTCCATTAAAAATTCCAATGGCTCAAGATTATGACTAGGCCGTTTAGTAATTAATGGGGCTAGGCACACATTGTTGATCCACTTCTAGTGGGATGTTCTAGAATCTTGGGTTTGATATTTTGAACGTGAAAATAATAATCATAAGGAAAAATTGCAGCAACAATCCGTAATCTTTTCATTTTTTGCAGACATTATTGTAGCTTTCATTTTGTGCCAGAGAAGATCCTAACATTTCATAAATATGCAGTTGGGGTCCCTTTGGAAGGAAATCATCCAAAACACCATCAGTTGACATGAAAAATTTTAAAAATCTGGTATATTGACCCTTTTAAAGAAGGACAATTTCGTCTCATAACACATAAGTGTTTCTCACTTGATACTGTTCAAATCAATATATATTTTCATTTACATTGTTGAATAGTAATATTCATACTAATAATTACATATGATTCAATAAAATCCATAGTGAATCAAGTCTAATTATTAATTTTTTTTTTTCTTGAGTGGTCTAACATTCGCTAGCAATTGACGAAAAAATAAAATCAAACATAATAACCTTCAATTGCCGCCTAAGAAACCCTCCAACAAAATAATAGTAGTAACAATAATAAAAATTAATAATATTCCAAATCACCGAAAAACCCCAAGTTAAAAGCACGGGACAGCAAAAACTAAACAAATAACCCTAATTAAAAAATAACAGTAAAATCCCCCAACACAAATTCAACACTTAGAATAAAAAAAGATAATGAAGCTAATAAAAAATAATCACCAGTTAGCTTGATGGAGTCTTTAGCATACAGTTTTTCTATTGCCAATAGGAATAACCCAAAACACGACGGAAAGAAAAATCACTACGCTAAGTATCAAAATCAGAAGACATTTGAAATTGAACTCTTGAAAGATTCTAGAAACAACCACCGAATATCTATGGCTGAAGAAGGTTCTAGAAATGAGATTCTGAGACTGTTGTCTCAATTGCTACTGCACAACTCGTAATTGTTGACTATCGACTTTCCCCATTTCCACCACAGCATTTATTCTTGCGGTGCTCTCTCTCTCTCTCTCTCTCTCTCTTTGTGGAATTGTATGTATAGGTATATTTGGGGAAATGTTGATTTGAACAGTATCAAGTAGAAATGCTAATTGGACGAAATTGCTCCTCTTTAAAATAGTCAATATACCTCATTTTTTAATTTTCCAGGTCAATTGACGGTGTTTTGGACGGTTTCCGTCCAAAAGGACCCCAACTGCGTATTTATAAAAGGTTAAGATCTGCTCTGACACAAAATGAAGGTTAGGGTAAAGTCTACAAAAATGAAAAGGTCAGGGACCGATGCTGCAATTTTCCCTAATATTAATGGAAAGTCTTAAGGCCTAGGGTTCGGTATTAGGCCGATTGCCATTTGGCACACAGCCGCCAACCAAAACTACTCCTGCTGCCACATCTTCCTTCCTTCTTTGCATATTTGGGGAAATTTCCGTACAATTTTATGTTTTGCGAGGATAATACAACAACTTGGAAGAGGCATATTTTGAGTTTGAGCGTGAATCTAATATTTCAACACACGCCTGGGTTTTGAGGGATATGGCAGTTAATTAACACCAAATTCCTTAGTAACGGTGTGGTCTTTGTATGTTAGATTCACGCACAAACTCGTAATATGTCTTTTCGTTTAATCTAGTTAGATTTTACCACTTCACTCAGCCTCCAGTGCAGAATTTTCAGAGATCGGTTCGTTTTTATAATCCTTTTTTTTTCTTTTTTTATTATATTTTTCTTATCTGTTACGACTTCAGTTTTGAGTTGATCTCGGATGGAATTCATTCATAGATTGTTTGCCTAGTCAATGCTTGGAGGATCAAAAAATCTGTGTTCACTACTTGCAGCTAATATTGTACGCTAATTTGAATGTAGTCTGGTGGCTTCATTCATGCTTTTGAGGTTTCTCCAACTGCGAGGTCTGGAAAGGATTAATCCAATTTGGTAAATTTTATATTTTTCTTTGTCAGTTAAATCTTAGCTTATATCATTGTGTTAAATGTTTCAACACCGAACTTCAGGTTTTGTCACTGGTTACTCACCAACTTTAGAAAGTTTTTCGATGATCACTCAACTTTGGTCCGTTGCACTTCATCACTCACCGGATGGATTCCTCCTCTTTTAGCCTATGTGGGTGACGGAAATACCGTCCAAAATTAAAATCAGATGCCAACTTGGATACCAGCGCATTAAATCACAAATCCCAAACATGCCTCTGCCAAAAATTGCAAAGCCTAAAAATTGAAATCAGAATCAAAATTCACGCCCCAAATCAAGAAAAACATTAATTGTTAGTCACTTCAGATAATCGTGGAACAAAATAAATTTCGGATTTTTGACATACCTGAACATCTTTGATTACTTCATATGAAAAATCACTTCTGTCCTGCCCAGTTAATCCAGATATGACAGACTCTCAAATTTGTAAACTTTTATCTCAAATAAAAGGCCGTTAAACTGCTGCTAGGGTTAAAGGAAGCCAGAGAAGAGTGAAACCCAGTAGAAGGTTTTCTATGAGCCTATGGGCTCCGCCGTCGAAAAATATGATTTCTTCAGTGGCTTTTTGGAGGAGGTGGTGGAGGATGAAATGTGGAGCCTGGTGATAGGTCAGGTGGATTTGGAGGTGGGTTCTGTGAACGGTAGCTTGGTATTTAGGTGGAGAGACTGGTGGTTGGGGGTGGGGGTGGGGGTGGTGGTGTTG